AATTAAAGCATATTTCAGCAATTCGTCTGTCATTCACAAAATCAAACTAAAAAAATAGTATTTTTTTTTTTCCTTTCTTTTGAGAACCAAACTAAAAAATAGTAATATTATCAACATGCTGTGCTTGAAGTTTTGGAACAGCCGTCACAAAATATATTCCGACCTTAGTGTTATAAGTAGGAGGTTAAAATATTATTAAAACAACCGACCGACAATATAGTTTTAACTTTTAAACCAAGTCCTTTTCTAATCCAATATTAATAGGACACGATATCATTAAAGTTAGTGGCATACTTGGCATTCTCATATAATTTTTTTAAAAAAAAATTATTTCATATATTAATAAGCCATATATTATAATGACATTGGGTCTTGTCACATCTCTTTAATAAACCCGATTATTAATTAGCATATGCTTTTTTGAACTGCTGAAATTTATTATAAATAATTAGTTGAAAGTTGAGATAACCCTAATTAATAATTATTATTAAATTAGCTTTCAGCCACTCCACGCACAACTTAACAACACGTCAAAAAGGTAAAGCTTTAATTGGAAAGTAAGCATTTTTTTATTCGCAATATAGAGAAACACAGTAATTAAAAGTGTAGTTGAAACTTGAAAGTGGGTATAATCTAGCAAAAATTAAAACAAAAAACAGTAATTAATAAGAAAACAACCACTTTTTTTGCCTGATTTTATAGAATTTGGTCAATTAATACATTAAATAGGCCTAATCAGGTTATCCTTTAACACCTTTCTTTCGGTTGGATTTGTTTCCAACTACAAAAAATGGCCTTTAAAAAAGGTGTGTTCATTAAAAAGATTATTGCACTAGCTAAAAACTAAAATATTGGTTTGATCCTGTGCAGAATAAAAGAGCAATTACAAGTATGAGTGAATAACAAAAATGTGTTCCTCGTCATTAATATGTTTGCTCGCCATAGTTTTAATCTCTTGAGAGAATCGATGACATCTGAGAATTATTAATTKGCTAGACCAAAGTACTGACGATGATTCTTAAATATCACGGAAGTAAAACTCAATGATCGATAATATTATTAGGCTAATGTATAAATTTAATTTTTAGACCGTTAGTTATAATGGATAATTTTAAAATTTATAAAATATATTTTTCTTATTTAAGTTTTAAGTTTTCATCGTTAACACCATTACAAAAATATTAATATCAAAGCTAAACATAACTCAATTATTTTTTTTATATGTTAATTATCGTTGAGCTATGCTCGTTTTGACAACATAATTAAATTAATTAATTGATTAAGATACCAACACTACTTTTCATTAACACAATTATAAGTCAATTCTAAGTCTCCACCCTACCCTTGATCTTACCTATTGGTGTACAAAAAAGAAATGTTCACGTATAGCTATTAACATATCAATTAAACAGACTAATGAATATGTTATATTAATACAATGATATACATACTTAAAATAGAAAAAAAAACTAGGAAAACTAAAGCAACATATTATATAGGAAGAAAATTAAACCAACAACGGTTGTGAAATTACATTACTWGTCACACCTAAAGTGAGACCAGAAAAGCGACGTGGGTCGAACTATTCGAACTGGACCACTCAAATAARAAATTTATATATAAGAGAGGCATAGACCTCTCTTATATATAGAAAACTACTGTAAATAAGAGAGACATGGAGCGCAAGATATTGAATGTGTTGTATTTCAAGAGCAAACACATGTGTATAGATTATCTCTTGTGCTGATCGAATTTGTTAAGGACAACGGTATCCCGTATCCCAGTATCTCCACAATTGTATGATATTATTCATCTTGGACATAATTCTCATGGTTTTGCTTTTCGTTTCACCTAAAAGACCTCATATATCTATATACCATGTATGATTTCCTCGTCTAGAATTCAGATCGTAGGTTGAAAACATGAAAATTCAAATAATAAGCAAAAGGACAAAGAGAGAGTGAACATGGAGGGCGTGACACATATGGTTTTAGTGTTGACCAGTAGTCTGGTGGGATGGAAACTCTAATTGCTGTGAAATATAACCAATTGAAAGACAGAGAAAGTGAATAATGAAATTAAGAAAGATTTGATATTTGGAAATTCCAAGCGGGAAATGGAATGAATAATCTAAGCCCTAATAATGGCTATGCCATGGAGAGAGATGAAGAAGAGAAACAAGATTTTGATTTTTGTGTGCAGAAATACAAGATATGGGAATCTGAAGCGTTGAAGTTTCTTCACAGATTCAGCAGTACACTACAAATTTGGAAATCCCATTGCCTCTTTTGGGTAAAAAACACTACTACCTCCTACACTTTTTGTTTCTCTCTCTCTTTTTTAATTGCTTGACAACCTACCCACACCCTATACCCTTCCTACCCTGCCTTATTCAAATATATGTACAATATTATTACCTTTTCTAAAAAAAAATGATTATGATTTAGAGATTAATATCAATATTAATGTGCGTGTACAATGGTGGTTGGTCCGTATTATAAGTTATGAAGAGAGGGAGTTTTTTTTGGCTATTTTTGGGTGGCCGTGGCTCAAGTGGTATATCATAGGGCCACCTCTAAATTCTTAGGCATCCATTCAACCACACAATAAAAAAAAATAATAATAATAATAATAATAAATGAATGAAAGAGATATCTTAAAGTTGTTAAAGCCGAGAGAGGACCTCTTTCTTTTTTATCTCCATGATTAGGCCTTAGTGGAAATTGACATTTCCTAGTTTCTCTCTTACTATTCTTCCCCTCTCTCTCTCTCTCTCTCTCTCTCTCTTTCTTTCTCACAGTATCCAATTTTATTCTTATTTTATACTTCAAATCAATTCAGAAATGGATTTTAAAATCCAGTTAATGAAGTCATAATAATAATAATTTCTTAAAAAGAGAGAAAAGAAATTACTATTTTAGAGTTTCGCTGTGGGGCTTCCCCAAAAGATCTAGCCGCATATAAAATATATAAATATACACTTACACTTATATATAGCTAGTATTTAATTAATTAAATTAAATTAAAGATGATATTATAAAGTCTTATCGTTTTCATAAGGCCGGGAAAAGTTAATTAGAAAAAAGAAATGGGCAGAGAGAAATTAGATTGAGTTGTTATTAGGTAGCTTAGACGATAGCGTTTCTTTCTTTCCAAAGGCTAAGGAAGAGAGAAGATTCGGTGTATGCTGCTCCCATGGTGGCTACTCACTAGACAAGTTTTCAGATTCACTGACATGTCCTCTCAATTTCATTCCTTCCAAATCTCTCTGCAACAATTAATTTAATACCCATTTGTAATTTCCTTTCCCCTTTTCATTTCTTTTCTTTTTCTCCTTCTGCATCTCTCTCTAGCTACTTTCTCTGTCTATATATAATCAGATACCATTAGCCTATATATTCTTCTTCTTCCTTCTTTAATCGTCTGCTTTTATTTCTTCATGGGTGTTAATGGAATTTTTTTGGTGTTGTTTTCTAAATTTCGTTTTTCAGGACTGTTACAACTGATCCATGGAAGCCGAATTGGAAAAGAGCAACGTGGGGTAAAGCCCATCAAAGTC